ATTGTGTGGGGTACTGACCCAGAAAAACTCCTGTGAGTAGAACCTGGACCAGGTGTCCACTCACTACCTGGCCACACTTGTACCACAAAATTACAAGGCAGCCACAAAACTGCTTCAGATACTTGGGTGTTATTAATCAATATACTATGCATTATATGAATGTCTAGGTGTTGTATTTTCTTTTAAATTTTTATTTATTTATTTTCATTTACTTGAAAAACACAGAAAGAGAGAGGGAAAGAGAGAGATCTTCCATTCGCTGGTTCACTCCCCACAACAGCCAGGGCTGAGCCAGGCCAAAGCAAGGAGCCTAGAATTCGGTTTGGTCTCCCTTGTGGGAGCCAAGACTCAACTACTTGAGCCATCACCTGCTGCCTCCCCAGGTGCACAATAGCAGGAAGCCAGAATGCAAAGCTGAGCCAGAATTCAGCCCCAGGCCCTCCAATGTGGGGTGTGGGCGCTCCAAGCCACAGCTTAACCACTACTTCAAACACCCACTTTCCTGGGGTATTTTCTACTTTGCCACTGGTTAGCCAAGCAAATGGCCGTCCACCCCCTGAGAAAGGCCACCAGTGTCACTGCCCTTGCCGTGGGGTTGAAGGGCCCTTCCTGGAGGGAACATGACCTCTCCCCTCAAGTTGTGGGGTCTGGGTCAGAGCCATGGCTGAAGTCTGGAAACTGGACACAAGGATTTCAGAATTCTTGCTGGGGCGGCTGCATTTCAGCCTCCTGAGTGCTGGCCCTCGTGTTTTGTGGGTTTTTTTGTAATGATTTAGTCAGGCAGTTCCAGGTTGGCTGCACATCTGGTTTGCTGCTAGGTCCCCACAGCATTGTAATCACAGCACCTTCCTTAGTTCCGGCAGCTCGGCACGTGCACTTGGGATCTCTCGAGTCAGGATTCTTCACCCCCATTACCACTGGGAGCCCACTTTGGGGACACCTTCTGCTATGGCCAGTCCCAGGCGTGAGCAGGAGGCATGGCTGTGGCTCTGATGATGCGGGCGCTTTTCTCTGTTTGCTTGGTGAACCTGTGTCCCGTGGAGCAGAGGCCTGGACATTTCCTTGCATTTTTGTTTTATTTCCACTCTGGCACGTGTGCTTCTCTCAACATTTTGTTCCCTCCCTGAACAACCTACCATGGAGGTTCTGAGTTGTCCAGTGCATGTAGTATGGGCCATCGCCTCCTGAGCTTCCAAGAGTTGTACTAGTACCACATCAGCATCAGTGTCCAAGGGACTGAACTGTATCCTGCACCTGGAACTCTCCCTCATCCAACTCTGATTGCACCCTGACCCTGTCCCACGATGATCCAGCACCCTCCAGGGCAACCCCACACACTCCCAGCTTCCCGCAATCTGTGTGGGCTGCATCTGCAGACCCTCTGCCATCCAGGCCTGGCACCTCCCCAACAGGGCCATGGGCTAGGGGGTAGGAAGAGTGATGGTGGAGCCATATCTGAAGAGTGAGGTTTCTTTGTGGGCAGAGGCAAAAGGAGGAGCATTTGATTGATGAAGAGATGAGCCCAGGGAACTGTCAGTTTTTTGACCCCTGCCTTTTAGTAGGATTTTCTGCTGTCACAGAGCTGGTGACAGCTCTTTGACCCGGACACCAGAAAGTGGACAGAGGTTCATCCTGGGGCCAGCTGGATGAAGACGACCTGGGAGAATGACAGGCAGCTGACTGAGTTCTTGCGGAAGGTGTCCATGGGAGACTGCACAAGGTGGCTGGGGAACTTCTTGTTGCCCAGGGAGGAGGTGCTGGAGTCTACAGGTAACTAGGGCCAGGGGGGGCGGGAAGGGGTTTTCCCTGGAGATGAGGTGAAGCCACCCCAGTGTGTGCGTGCACGGTGTGGGTGCTCTGTGCATGTGAGCGTGCTGTACCTGGGTGTGTGTGCATGTAAGTATTGGAATGTGTACATAGATGCATGGGCTGTGCCTGTGTGTGCATGCAAGTGTGTGGGCGTGTGCATGTGGGTGTGATAGTGTTGGTGCGATGGTGTGGAATCTGGCAGATGTACATGTGGGAATGTGGATGTGTGTGCCTGTGTGTGCATGTGAGAGTGTAGACATGAATGCATGTGTGTGTGTGTTGTACCTATGTGTGCATGTCTGAGTGTGTGTCTGAGAACGTGATCCAGTGTGGTGTGTCCTCCCTACAACAGCAGCATCTGGCGCTGTGCCTTCCCTCACGCCTCTCCTCCTCCTCCTGCTCATCTCTTCCTCACGGCTTGGATTTCAGTGCCCTCACCCCGCTCTGCTGGCCTCCACCCCGTGGCTGTCACTGTTCTAGAGCTGCTCGTTCGCCGTCCTCTCTTCCTAGAATCCCGGTTCTCCCGATTCTTCTGCTCTCTCTCTCTCTCTCCCTTGGTTCCTTCAGAACCATCTCCAATGCCAGCTCCTGCCTCCCTTCCTGGTGCCACCCCAGGACGGTCTGCATGGTCATCCCAGCTTCGTCTGGCAGATCTTTCCCATCCTCCCTCCCTTCTATCCTAGGACCTGGTTCTAGTCCTGGCTGCTCCTCTTCAGGTCCAGCACTCTGCTGTGGCCTGGGATAACAGTAAAAGATGGACCAGGTGCTTGAGCCCTCCCACATGGGAGACTGGGAGGAGGCACCTATCTTCTGGCTTCAGATTGGTGCAGCTCCAGCTGTGGTGGCCATTTGGGGAGAAACCAGCAGAGGGAAGACCTTTCTCTCTATCTGTCGCTCTCACTGTCTGTAACTCTACTGATCAAATAAATAAATACAATATTAAAAAAATGAACAAGCAAGGTCTGTTGTAAGCAAAGTCCACTCTCAGGGCAGGAGAGCGGGCGGGCAGGGGGAACAGCATCTGTGCTGAGGACCTGAGGAAGATTCCTTCTTTATTGCAATTGATGGTGTGTGTGTGTGTGTGGAGAATTCCTGAGACAGGAGGAGGACTCTAGGAGTAGCTGGGGCTGTCCTGGAGCAGGGCATCACCTGTCTTTTCTCTAACCAGGGCTTTTCCCAACTGTGATGCTGGAATCACAACCACAGTGACCACACGGCTGACATGACGCTGCCTACCTGGGACATTCACCACTGGATGCTTTTGGAGTTTCTGTACCATTTTGTTTTTATGTATTGATTCTGTATTTTAACCTGTCATGAGCCGTTAGCCCCAGTTCAGTAACACTGGTGCTATGACTTGGATACCATCTCTTCACTAGCTGTGCCTCGCCATTCCCTGTTCTAACTCTGGCCCAGCAACCCAATGTAGCACACTCCACTGTGGGAGATCCCGTGAGACTGCCTGCCTAGCCCATGCAGTTATCTGAGTGCTGGCAGGCCCAGGAGCCCCAGGCACGTTTCCCCAGCCCTGCCTCTGCCAATCAGGTAAACTGCTCCTGGGTGTGGCCCAGGCCCACCTGGAAAGCTAGGAGCCTATGTGACCTTCAAGCTGATTGAGAAGCATATCGGCAAAATACCACCTTCAGTTATAGAATTAGTGCTGCCCTGAATCAGTTAGGCGCCCTCTGCCTGCCCTTTACAAGGTGTGCTTGGTGCTAATAAAGCTGTCGTGTGCCCTGAAACTTGTCTCCGGTGTGTCTTGTGGAAGAGTGTTGCTGCCCCACCCCAGTGCACAGGACTCCTGGGATGAGCCCACGACTGGCCTCCAACGTGGGGTCTGAACACGTATGGTGACCTAGGTTCAGGCTCACAGTGCCTCTCTGCTAGGTGAAGAGGGTACCTCGTTGTTTTAGGGACCACGGACACAGTCGTGGGCTCCCCGTGTGGACATGTGAGAAATGGCTGGCCATGTTTCTAACTTATCTTTCCACCTCCCACCCTGTCCCTTATCTTCGTACTCTGCCTGAGCCACAGCCCAGGGGTAGAGCTCCCATGGGGAAAGTGAGACAGCCCTGGGAGCCTGGTCCCAGCATGAGACCTGATCAGAGAGTGAGGGCTACTCCAGCCCTGCAGGCCGGGCCTTCCAGCTGCTCCAGCGAGGCGCCCTGGAGGATGCATGTATGGGGGTAGAGGTGGGGTCTATGGCAGTCAAGGTGGAATCCAAACCCCAGACCCCTCTATGGTTGCTGCTGGCATAGTGAGGGCACAGAGAGTCTGGATCCCAAGCATCAAAATGTACAACTTGATAGAAGATTTGTTTCCTAAATACTGTGTGCTTTATTTATGTACTAGTGTCCCTGAGCTGGCGCTCCATGCCATAGAGACAGCAGTGGAGAACAGCGGGTGCTCCATGGACACCTCTCACCCATCAAGAGGGAAAGGGGAGCCTGAGCTGTGCCCCACCCCGGAGTGGGGTTTTAACAAGGCCAGGAACCCAGGATGCCTGCCTGCCTGCCTGCCTGCCTGCAGCCCGCCCACCTGTTCTTCCTCTGTCCTCCTTCCCTCCTTCTCCTTCTCCCCACCCTCCTCTGCCTTTCCTTCTGTAGGTAGAGCAAGACACACACACACACACAGAGAGACAGAGAGAGAGAGAGAGAGAGAGAGAGAGAGAGAGAGAGAGGGAGGGTGGGAGGAAGGCAGAGAGGGAGAGAGAGAGCGCTCTCACCTGCAGTGTTCAGGCTTGTAGGTACTGGACTCACTCACTCCTGGCAACCTGCTTCCTGTGTGGCCTCAGTGCCCTTTTAACACCAGGGCCCTTTTAGCATTCAGTGCTCAGGGCGGGACAGGGCAGGCCTAATTGTCCCTCAAAAAGATTCGGGGGCGGGGGCGAGCTCACTGGCTGTCCCTTCGATTACTGAAAATAAAAAGAGACACCAGAAATCTCACGCACATTTAGCTAAAGCAGCAAACTTCAACGGGGAGAAAACATTTATAGCAATAGCGCTAGTTTTCCTTGGGGAAGACGGGTATCGGCGCAACTGCAGACGAAGCCTTAGTGGCAGCCGCAAAGATTAATCTATAACTTAGCTGTCTTGAAGCCACTCTCACCCCATCCTCCCTTCGACCAATAAAACCACTTGACATCACAATTCCTGTACTAGAATACCCAGTGAGCTCCGAACTGACTCACTCACACAGCCATGGAGCTGCTGGACGGGCACTGCTTCCCTTCCCTGCTGCTTCTGCTCCTGTGTCTGCTGGCAGCCGGGCTCGGGGCACCGCTGGCCGGTGAGTGCAGGGCACAGGGCAGGGAGAGAGGGTGGGGACCTCCTCGCAGGCCTGCGCTTCCCAGTGGAGGCTTCTCCCAGAAGTCACAGGAGGAGGATGGGAGGGGGCGGTGGAAAATGCTGGTGCCCCAACCCTGGGCACGGATCCAGTGGTCACGTGGAGGAGAGCGCACCCTGCACGGAGGCGACCTCGGCTTTCCCCTGACCCCTCCTGCAACCAAAAACTCCCCTTCCAACCCATCAGCATCCACTTGCTGCTACACAGCTCACAGCCTCATCAGGCCACTTCACTCCTGAGTTGATGAGTCCTGTGAGCCCCGGGGCCATCTCAGCACGGGACCAGGAACACAGGGATTGCCTGCCAGTCTGCCTTTCTCATCCGGCCACCTCCCTCCTGAGTCGCCTAGTCACTGGAAGCCTGTAGAAAGTCTTGGCACAGGACCAGGATCCCCGGGCTTCGGGTCTAATCTGTCCCTCGCTCATTGGGCCGGTCCTGACTTCTCCCCTACCTGATGGCGTCATTCCGCTGCCAGAGGTCGCCCCAGGCAGGCACACCCAGACCTCAGCCCAGTGCCTGAATTTGAAGGGATGGGGCCACCATCCCCCCACCACCACCCTGGGTTCAGGCACCTTGTGCTGCACTTCCCCTCGCTGCTGGGAGGCAGCACTGTAGGTGACGAGCCTTGTTTTCACAGGAGCTGGCCAACTTGTGTGCAAAGGGGACTTACTGGCTCTGAGTCATCTGTCTCCCCAGCTGCTCAATTTTTCTGGGGGTGGCAGTGACACCACCAGCCAGGGACAACTTGCAAAGGAACTAGGGCCCAGATCTGAGCAGGGTCCCATTTGCCCACCCCAGGTTCGCGGCATCCTCAATGTCCCGGCTGCTGGAGCCCCAGCCCACAGGGTGTCCTTCTCGAGTGGAGTCTCGGGTGTGTGGGTGAGAGTCAGCAGTGGATTCTGTCCTGCTGCGGCTTCTGGTGGGGTCCTGTGGTTTGTAGCGTTGCTGCTACCTCTGTGCTGTCCAGCGGAGTCCTGGGTCCACGTGGGGACACTCCCTGCAGCCGCTGTGTGAGCTCACCTCGGGGTGAGTGGTGCTGCCTCGTGCTGGCATCAGTGGACAGGCTCCCTGCTCCTGCACCCCACCAGGAGTTCCTCAGAGGCAAGGGGCACGGGTGGCTCCAGCTCAGGAAACTGAAGATCTGGGCTTGAGTTCTGTGATTTACCCAGGACCAGCATCCACGGGATGCGCGTGGAGATCTGCGGTTCCTGTGATGGGTTTTGGAGTCCTCGTGTGCTCATTGCCCGAGTTACCCAGGCTTTTCTACAACCAGAGAACTACAGTAAAAGCTGTTGCTGTCTCTCACTGTAAACCTGTGACTGCCTTGACCTTTCCTAAGAAAGAGTTTCCTCTCCTCTCACTGGGTCCCGCTCAGTGCTGCTGTTTTCAGTCCTCGTCTGGACAGGAGATTTGGCCTCAGGTGCGGGTAGGGGAGGCGGTCATCATCCAGCCACTGTGCTAACTGCTTCTGCCAGCTGCTTCCCGGTGTGTGGTGTCAGCCCTGGTTGGGTCCACATAGGTGCATGTGTGCATGCACTCAGGTGACAGGTGCACTCCTGTATGTCCACCTGTCTCTTCACACTCTTCCCTGTAGGACGCCCCAGCTGACTGATCTGCCCTGATCGCCCACTCCTGCCATACTCTGGAAACCGTGTTTCTCAATCCTGCCCTCCTAGCCACACCTGTCTCTGTCTTTCTCTTGCCTCTTGGAGTCAGTTCTGCCAGATGCTCCCAGAAGACAGTGGCTGCCCAGGGACCATGCACACCATGGTTTGCACTTTCTAAGCACGTGGTGTCGGAGTTTCTGTTCAGATGTATGTGAGCTTAGGTACTGTGTGTGCTTACACAGGACTCCTGTCACCAGCTCCCTCCGAGTCTCGGGGGCCATGCTGGGACCCTGTGTACTTGGTCAGAGAACCTGAATGAATTACAAGGAGAACAGGTGGCAGAAAGTCAGGAGCCAGTGATGGAGTTGCCATGGTGGGAAGTGATCTCCCTGTGTCCCAGCCCCGACCTTCAGGCGGGCTCCTGAGTGTCTTGGAGCTGGGGGAGAGGTTGAGTGTGAGTCCTTTCTCATCCCCATGCCTCACTCGTGTTTCTCTTCCACAGACAGTCACTCCCTCTGCTATGTCATAACTGTCAATCCCAAGGCTGGACCCAGACAGCAACGGTGTGATGTTCAAGGTCACGTGGATGACAGGAGGATTCTGCACTATGACTGCAGCTTCACTAAGATCAGCTTTTTTGACCCCCTTGGGAGGGAAGTGGATGCCATTGACAACTGGGCAGAGCAGACAGAAATGCTGCGAGATGTGGTGGACACCCTCATCCAGCAAGTGGCTGAAATGAAACATTCCACAAGCAAGGGTGAGCCTGAAAAGACCCTGGGCAGAGGGCAGGTTTGTGAATAAGGACTGAAGATTTTCTCGTGCAGAACTGGTCGCTGCTCTTCATTTGGAGGCCCAATGGCAGGGCGGGAGAGGTGGGACATCAGGGCCAGGCGATGCAAAGTCGACGGGAATGCAGGATCCCAGGTGGGGCAAAGGGTCTGTTAAGCCAAATCTGGGCATGGGGAGTTCCTTATGTTTCTGTGAAGTTGCAAGTTGGCCCCACGCAAGTGCTCCAGGAGAAATTGCAGGATGCAGAGGACAGAGCAGGGCCAGGAGATACCAGAGAAACGGATGGGAGAAGTGGATTCAAGGTGGGGCAAAGGATCTGTCAAGACTGATCTCTGACAATGTCTTTCCAATGGGACAGATCCCCTGAGCCTGCAGGGCAGGATGTGCTGCTGGCGTGGAGCCAGTGGTGGCACACACGGGTCCTGGCAGTTCAGCTTCGGTGGACAGATCGGCCTCCTCTTTGACCCGGACGCCAGAATGTGGACAGAGGTTCATCCTGGGGCCAGCTGGTTGAAGACGACCTGGGAGAATGACAGGCAGCTGACTGAGTTCTTGCGGAAGGTGTCCGTGGGAGACTGCACAAGGTGGCTGGGGAACTTCTTGTTGCCCAGGGAGGAGATGCTGGAGTCTACAGGTAACGAGGGCCAGGGGGGGCGGGAAGGGGTTTTCCCTGGAGATGAGGTGAAGCCACCCCAGTGCGTGCATGCACGGTGTGGGTGCTGTGTGCATGTGAGTGTGCTGTACTTTGGTTTGTGTGTATGCGAGGGTATGGGTGTGTGTGCATATAAGGGAGTGGATGCTGGTGGGTGTGGCGTGGGAATGTGGGTGTGCATGTATGAGAGTGTGGGTGTGACAGTGTATGTGTGCTGAGTGAGCCTATGCGTGTCCTTTGCTGTTTGTGTGCATGTTAGGGTGCTGTGTGCATGTGTGTGTGATGCTGTGTGTCTAAGAAAGCAATCCAATATGTGTCCTCACATCCGGAGCTGTGCCTGTCCTCACGCCTCTCCTCCTCCTCCTGCTCATCTCTTCCTCAGCGTGTATTTCAGTCCCCTCACCCGCCCCCTGCTGGCCTCCACCCCGTGGACATCACTGTTTCTAGCCCTTCTTCGCAGTCCCCTCTTCTTAGATTCGCTTTTCTCCCGTTTCCTCCGCTCTCTCCCTTGGTTCCTTCAGAACCATCTCCAGGTCCAGCTCCTGCCTCCCTTCCTGGTGCCACCCCGAGCCTCTCCCATCTTGGCCCCCCAGGAGGGATGGTCTGCATGGTCACCCCGACTTCCTCTCTGGCAGATCTTTCCCATCCTCCCTCCCTGCTACCCCAGGACCTGTCCCAGCAGTTCACAGTATGGTTGCCAGCTGTGTGCACAGCTGCCTTTCCCAGGAGCAGGAGCTGGAAGGCCTCCCTGGGGTTTGGGTTCTGGACAGGGCCTCCAGTGTTCTGCTTCCATTTCAGCACGGCCACCCACAACCTCAGGACCAGTCCCATTCAAGGCCACGGCCACCATGCCCATGCCCTGGACCATTCTCCTGCTCCTCACCAGCTCAGTCCTCCTTGTCATGCAAGGGGAGCCATTCTGAGTGACAGGTATGGAGGGCAGCATTGGGAGGGGAGCAGAGGGCAGATGGGATTGGGTGGGACGATGGCAGAGGGAATTCCCAAGTCCAGCCCTGCCCCCTGGACTGCACTGTCTCATTCTGGAAGTGAGACAGGAAAATCAGTCCTCATGTCCCTCAGTAGCATTAACTGGGACCAGCTCAGCCCTGAGTTCTAAGAAATTCTCCCTGTCAGGAGCCAGCCTGGTGGAGGGAGAGGGAGAGGGAGGGGCCCTTTCCTACACCGGGTTCAGCAGCTGGTTCATGGCCTGTGGGTTGAAGAAGGCTTAGCCAGCTCAGGATTTTGTAGCGCAGATTCAGGGCCCAGTCACGGGAGACTGGGACACAGGAACACAGGCATAGGGTTTGTGGGCAGCAAGCAGCATGGACGCTCACTTGAGGAGTCGTTGTCAGAGATCCCACCCTCCAAGCAAAGAGGAGGCTGAGCCCATCCCAGGATGAGGGGTGGGAAGGCCTTTGGGAACCAATTCCTAATGCAGAGGGCAGGGCGTTCCTGTTACCAGAGAACCTGTCCAAGGTCTTGGTCCCCCTGCAGGAAGAGAACTCTGGAATGCTCCAAGGTTAAAATTAACTAGCAAGGTCTGTTGTAAGCAAAGTCCACTCTCAGGGCAGGAGAGCGGGCGGGCAGGTGTACAGCATCTGTGCTGAGAATCTGAGGAAGATTCCTTCTTTATTGCATCTGATGGGGTGGGGAATTGAGAATTCCTGAGACGGGAGGAGGACTCTAGGAGTAGCTGGGGCTGTCCTGGAGCAGGGCATCACCTGTCTTTTCTCTAACCAGGGCCTCTCTCATCTGTGATGCTGGAATCACAACCACAGTGACCACACGGCTGACATGACGCTGCCTATCTGGGACATTCACCACTGGGTGCCTTTGGAGTTGTTGGGCCGTGGAAAGTGCTTGCAGCCCTCTTGGGCCTCTGGGGTCTACTCACGTCGAGCTGTGTGCATTGAGAGCTCCCCTACCCAGGGACTCTGGCCCCTTCCTTCTCTACTGGGAAACAGGACGAGCCTGTCTCTGTCGCTCCCCCTCTTCGTGGAGGAACGACACAGGACCCTGCGCTGTTCTTTTTTCTGCTCGGCCCTCCCCGGGTTTGCTGCTGGTTCTTCCCGGGTTGGCTACTATCCCTTCCACCTCCGTGGAAGGGCAGTTCCCCCTGGCCGCATTCCCCACTTCCGCAGGGGAGCGGCACACCGCCGGCCGGCTTTCTCGGGGGCTGCACGGGTTCCCTTAGATGTTCCCCATAGATGTTCCTGGTGCATGCCGTCTCTCTCCTCCTTTATAGTCCTCCTCCGCCAATCCCAACTCGGCTGCCCACACGCCGAGTACGCTGCTCTCCAATCAGGAGCAAGTCCTACAGTTAATTGGTTGAACTGGAGGCAGCTGTGCGGAAGCTGTTTACTTCTCTCCCAGCGCCATATTGTGGGAGAGCAGATGCATAGAATAAGTCTTAATTCCAGTAACTCAGTCTAGTCCGGTTGCTCCCCACAGATCCCCCTTTCTTTTTATTTTTTGGCATTGATACGCGCCTGTCTTCGGTGTCCCGCGGCACACACTCTGCCCAGAGTCCTATTTGGAAGGGTTCCTTTGAGGGAATAGGGAAGACCTGGGAGACTTGGTCAAAGAGTCCTTGCCATGTTGTGAGGAGGTTTTTAGGCGCTGATGCGTGCCTGTGTTCGGTGCCCTGCAGCGCATGCTCTGGTCGAGCCTGCAGGGGATATAAGAAGGAGAGTGACTGCAAGCAGTCGTGCCAGTGAGAGTTTAGATCAGCCTGCAAGACACTACCTGTGCACTCCTTCTCGTGTTACATTTCTTTACCATTTTGTTTTTATGTATTGATTACATATTTTCACCTGTCATGAGCCGTTAACCCAAGTTCAGAGAGTGCGGGCTACTCCAGCCCTGCAGGCCGGGCGTTCCAGCTGCTCCAGCGAAGCCCAAAGCCCAGAATGGGCGCCCTAGATGATGCATGCATGGGGTTAGAGGTGGGGTAAGGCAGTCAAGGTGGAATCCAAACCCCAGACCCCTCTACGGTTGCTGCTGGCACAGTGAGGGCACAAGAGAGTCTGGATCCCAAACATCAAAATGTTTGACCTGATTGAAGATTTGTTTCATAAATACTGTGTGCCTTATTTATGTGCTAGTGGCGCTGAACTCATGCTCTTCACCATAGAGACAGCAGTGGGCGGCAGCGGGTGCTCAATGGACACCTCTCAGCCAGCAAGGGGGAAAGGGGAGCCCAAGGTGTGCTGCACCCCACACCCCAGAGTGGGGTTTTAACAAGGCCAGGAACCCAGGATGCCTGGTGCCTGCCTCCCTGCAGCCCGCCCACCTGTTCTTCCTCTGTCTGTCCTCCTTCTCCTTCTCCCTACCCTCCCTCCACCTTTCCTTCTCTAGGAAGAGCAAGACACACACACACACAGAGCAAGCAACAGAGAGAGAGACAGGGAGAGGGAGAGAGAGAGAGCGAGCCCGTTCAGGCGTGTAGGTGCTGGACTCTGACTCACTCTTGGCAACCAAGAGACTCACTCTTGGCAACTGGCTGTGCAGCTCTGCGCCCTTTTTTTTTTTTTTTTTCAGGCAGAGTTATAGACAGAGAGAGAGACAGAGAGAAAGGTCTTCCTTCTGTTGCTTCACTCCCCAAATGGCCACCATGGCCGGCGCTAGGTGCTTCCTGGCCTCTCATGCGAGTGCAGAGGCCCAAGCACTTATGCAATCCTCTACTGTCTTCCCGGGCCACAGCAGAGAGCTGGACTGGAAGAGGAGCAACCAGGACAGAATCCAGCAACCCAACTGGGACTAGAACCCAGGCTGCTCATGCCGCAGGCGGAGGATTAGCCTTGTGAGCTGCAGCACCAGCCCTCCGCACCCTTTTAAAACCGATGCCCTTTTAGCTCCTAGCGCTCAGGGCGGGACAGGGCAGGCTGAGCTGTCCTTCAAAATGATTCGGAGGTGGGGGTGAGCTTCTCACTGGCTGTCCCTCCGATTACTGGAAAAAAAAAAAAAAGGCACCAGAAATCTCACACACATTTAACTAAAACAGCAAACCTCAAGAAGGAGAAAACAATTCCAACAATAGCGCTAGTTTTCCTTGGGGAAGACGGGTATCAGTGCCCCTGTCAGCGCCCTTGCAGACTAAGCCTTAGAGGCAGCGGCAAAGATTAATCTATAACCTAGCTGCCTTGGAGCCACTCTCACCCCAGCCTTCCTTAACCAATAAACCCGGGTACCTACACAATTCCTGTACTTAAATACCCAGTGAGCTCTGAACTGACTCAGTACTCTGCAATGGAGCTGCTGCCCGGGCACCCCTTCACTTTTCTGTAGCTTCTGCTTCTGCGTCTGCTGGCAGCTGGGCTCTGGGCGCCGCTGGCCGGTGAGTGCTTTCAGGGCAGGGCACAGGGCAGGGAGAGAGGGTGGGGACCTCCTCGCAGGCCTGCGCTTCCCTGAGGCGGCTTCTCCTGGAGTCCAAGGAAGAGGATGGGATGGAGCAGTGGGAACTGCTGGTGCCCTACCCCCCATCCTGCCTACAGTAGGCACAGAGCCAGGGGGCACGCAAATGAGTGCGAACCTTGCACGGAGGCGTCCCCGCTCGACACCCACAAACTCCCACTCCAACCCACCAGCGTCCACTTGCTGCCAGCCACTGACAACTGGGCAGAGCAGACAGAAATGCTGCGAGATGTGGTGGACACCCTCAACCAGCAAGTGGCCGAAATGAAACATTCCACAAGCAAGGGTGAGCCTGAAAGTCCCTGGGCAGAGGGCAGGTTTGTGAACCAGGACTGAGGATTTCCACGTGCAGAACTGGACAATGCGCTTCCTTTGGAGGCCCAGCGACAAGGTGGAGAGGTAGGACATCAGGGCCAGGTGATGCTAAGGGGATGGAGTGGAGGATCCCAGGTGGGGCAAAGGGTCTGTCAAGACTGATCTGGGCACAGGGACTTCCTTATGTTTCTGTGAAGTTGCAAGTTGGCCCCACTCAAGTGCCCCAGGAGGAAGTGCAGGATGCAGAGGACAGAGCAGGGCCAGGAGATACCAGAGGGACGGTTGGGAGAAGTGGATCCCAGGTGGGTCAGGGGATCAGTCAAGACTGATCTCTGACAATGTCTTTCCAATGGGGCAGATGCCCGGAGCCTGCAGGGCAGGATGTGCTGTCAGGGTGGAGCCAGCGGCGGCAGGCACGGGTCCTGGCAGTTCAGCTTTGATGGACAGATCGGCCTCCTCTTTGACCCGGACGCCAGAAAGTGGACAGAGGTTCATCCTGGGGCCAGCTGGTTGAAGACCACCTGGGAGAATGACAGGCAGCTGACTGAGTTCTTGCGGAAGGTGTCCGTGGGAGACTGCACAAGGTGGCTGGGGAACTTCTTGTTGCCCAGGGAGGAGATGCTGGAGTCTACAGGTAACTAGGGCCAGGGGTGGCGGGAAGGGGTTTTCCCTGGAGATGAGGTGAAGCCACCCCAGTGTGTGCATGCACGGTGTGGGTGCCGTGTGCATGTGACTGTGCTATACCCGGGTGTGTGTGCATGCCAGGATATGGGTGTGTGTGCATGTAAGGGTGTGGATGCTGGTGCGTGTGAAGTGGGAATGTGAGTGTGTATGAATGAAGTGTGTGTGTGACAGTACATGTGTTCTGTGTGAGCCTGTGAGTCCTGTGCTTTGTGGGTGCATGGTAGGGTGCTGTGTGCAGGTGTGTGTGAGCCTGTGTGTCTGAGTTCACAATCCAGTGTGATGTGTCCTCCCAATGGCAACCGCAGCATCACCTCTGTGCCTGTCCTCACACCTCTCCTGCTCTTCCTGCTCATCTCTCCCACACGGCGTGGATTTCAGTTCCCTGACGCGCCCTCCTGCTGGCCTCCACCCCGTGGACATCACTGTTTCTAGACCTTCTCCCTCGCCTTCCCCTCTTCCTAGAATCCCGGTTCTCCCTTTTCCTCTGCTGTCTCTCTGGGGTCCTTCAGAACCATCTCCAGGTCCAGCTCCTGCCTCCCTTCTAGCCACCACCCCCAGCCTCTCCCATCTTGGCCTCCCAGGAGGGACGGTCTGCATGGTCACCCTGGCTTCCTCCCTGCTATTCCAGGACCTGTCACAGCAGTTCACAGTACGGGTGCCAGCTGTCTGTACGGCTGCTTTTCCCAGGAGCAGGAGCTGGAAGGCCTCTCTGGGGTTTGGGGTCTGGACAGGGCCTCCAGTGTTCGGCTTCCATTTCAGCACGGCCACCCACAACCTCAGGACCAGTCCCATCCAAGGTCACGGCCACCATGCCCATGCCCTCGACATTCTCCTGCTCCTCACCAGCTCAGTCCTCCTTGTCATGCAAGGGGAGCCATTCTGAGTGACAGGTATGGAGGGCAGCATTGGGAGGGAAGCAGAGGGTAGATGGGATTGGCTGGGATGATGGCAGAGGGAATTCCCTGAGTCCAGCCCTGCCCCCTGGACTGCACTGTCTCATTCTGGAAGTGAGACAGGAAAATCAGTCCTCATGTCCCTCAGTAGCATTAACTGGGACCAGCTCAGCCCTGAGTTCTAAGAAATTCTCCCTGTCAGGAGCCAGCCTGGTGGAGGGAGAGGGAGAGGGAGGGGCCCTTTCCTACACCAGGTTCAGCAGCTGATTCATGGCCTGTGGGTTGAAGAAGGCTTAGCCAGCTCAGGATTGTGTAGCGCAGATTCAGGGCCCAGTCACAGGAGACTGGGGCACAGGAACACAGGCACAGGGTTTGTGGGCAGCAAGCAGCATGTACGCTCCACTTGAGGAATCATTGTCAGAGTGGGCAGCAGCGGGTGCTCCATGGACACCTCTCGCTCAGCAAGAGGGAAAGGGGAGCCTGAGCTGTGCTGCAGCCACACCTCGGAGTGGGTTTTAACAAGCACCAGGAATGCAGGACGCCTGCCTGCCTGCCTCCCTGCAGCCCGGCCACCTGTTCTTCATCTGTCTGTCCTCCTTCCCTCCTCCTGCTCCTTCTCCTTCTCCTAACCCTCCCTCCACCTTTCCTTCTGTAGGCAGAGCAACACACACACACACACACACACACATGCACAGGGAAAGAGGGAGAGAGAGAGAGAGAGAGAGAGAGAGAGGAGAGCGTTCTCACCTGCAGTGTTCCGGACCCTGCAGGTGCTGGACTCTTTCTGGCTCTTGGATGGCACAAAGCATCCCAAGGAACAACTCCATCCAATGCTCCCTGTGCAGCCTCTGCGCTTTTAGCTCAGAGCGCTCAGGGCAGGACAGGGAAGGCCCATTCTCCTTCAAAACGATTGGAGGGAGGCAAGTTTCTCACTTGCTGCCCCTCCAATTACTGAAAAAAAAGAGAGAGAGAGAAACAAGAGAAATCCACACACATTTAACTAAAGCAGCAGCTTCTACAGGGAGAAACAATTCCAACAATAGCCACTAGAGTTTCCCTGTGGAGGATGGGTGTCAGCGCCCCTGCAGGCAGCCTTGGTAAGTGCAGCCACAAAGCCAGCACGGGTAACTGCAGACAAGATTCAGGCGGCTACCTCAGAGCTGATCTCACTCCACCCTTATTTCCAGGGCACAGGGCCAGCAGCCAGTGGCGCGAAAAACTCCTTGTAACTGTATGTAAATGAGTTGGCTGTCCTTAAATACGCAGTCAGTGCTGAACTCACTCACTCCAGGATGGAGCTGCTAGCCCTGCGCTGCTTCACGTCCCTGTTGCTTCTGCTCCTGCCTCTGCTGGCAGCCGGGCTCCAGGCACTGCTGGCCGGTGAGTGCTTTCAGGGCAGGGGAACAGGGCCTGGGAGAGAGGGTGGGGACCTCCTCTCAGGCCTGTGGCTACCCTGAGGCCGCTTCTCCTAGAGGTCACAGGAGGAGGATGGGAGGGGGCGGTGGAAACTGATGGTCCCCAGGGCCGTCCTGGGGTCACTGAGCCAGGGGGCGTGAATGAGTGCGGACCCTGCAGGAAGGCCATCCCCCGACTCCGCTCTGCAACCACAACTCCCCCTCCAACCACCAGCGTCCACTTGCTGCCAACCATCACCCACTATCCCCACCACTCACAGCCTCATCAGGCCACTTTGCTCCTGAGTTGATGAGTCCTGTGAGCCCCGGGGCCATCTCAGCACGGGACCAGGAACACGGGGATTCCCTGCCAGTCTGCCTGTCTCATCCAGCCAGTTCTGTCCTGAGTCGCTTAGTCACTGGAAGCCTGTAGACTAGTTTGGCACAGGACCAGGATCCCCGGGCTTCGGGTCCAATCTGTCCCTTTCTCATCTGGCAGGTCCTGACTTCTCCCCTACCTGATGGCCTCATTCCGCTGCCTGAGGTCACCCCAGGCAGGCACACCCAGACCTCAGCCCAGTGCCTGAATTTGAAGGGATGGGGCCACCATCCCCCCACCACCACCCTGGGTTCAGGCACCTTGTCCTGCACTTCCCCTCGCTGCTGGGAGGCAGCACTATAGGTGACAAGCCTTGTTTTCACAGGAGCTGGCCAACTTGTGTGCACACTGAAATGGGTGGACGTCCCTTGTGTAGTGGGTGTGGCCTTGCCTGTCCACACTGGAGGCCCAGGCTAGGATCTCCAGGTAGGAGTTGCCCTACACGGCCCCTTTCCCAGCACAGAGCTCTGGCCGTGGAGAATGGGGTAAATACAACCGCGTTCATTCATTCATTCATTCACATCTTCAACCAATTTGTGGAGAGATGGGATGAAAAGGTGTCTAATTGGGCGCAGAAAACGTTTTGAAACCTGTGCACACAGAGTCCCTGTTTTCCTGGGAACATGTACTTTCTGTGAGCACCTTGAAGACCCATGTGTTGTCTGAGGTTCCTGTGGTGCTGGAAGCTCAGAGCGGGGTGGTTGCAGCTGATGCTACATGGCCTGCAAGCCCTCAGCTGGTTACTAGATATCCTCTCAGAGGGAATTCTGGGAATCAGCCTGGTATTCACCCAGTGTTCACCTGCTTCACCACCTGTCCAGCAGACTCAGCTACCTCAGAGGGTGGTCTCACCCATAATCTGTGTTAAGTTCCTGCAGGAGGAGTTTCTTCCACACGCAGGGGAGGATGACTCACACCCTGTGCTTGCAGGGCTGCCGCTCAAACAGCTCCCAGCAGCTGAGAGGCCTCCCTTAAGGGAGGAATGTGAGCTGGCAGATGTCAAGGTCTTGCCCAACCCCTCCTGACAGGCTTCCTGTGATCTCCAGCCATGGGAGCCTACCATGACTGTGAACTAAACAGACCTGCTGCTCTCCACCCTCAAGAGGCCCCTCTGTGGCCCAGGGTCCCTCTCCAACACCCTCCCTGCTCACTTCCTACCTAACCTAGAGCCAGTACCTCTGGAGGAGTTAAGAAGACGCCTGCCTTTCACAGGGCGCCCACCAGGAGTTCCTCACAGGCGAGGGGCACGGGTGGCTCCAGCTCAGGAAACTGAAGTTCTGGGCTCGAGTTCTGTGTTTTACCCAGGACCAGCGTCCATGGGATGTACGTGGAGATCTGCGGTTTCTGGTTTGGACGTTGGTGTCCTCGTGTGCTCACTCCCCGAGTTACCTAGACTTTCCTTCACCCAGAGGCGTGCAGTGAGAGCCGTTGCTGTTTCCCACTGCCTGCCTCTCGGGAAACCTTGTTCTCAGTCCTGCCCTCCTAGGCACACCTGTCTCTGTCTTTCTCTTGCCTCTTGGAGTCAGTTCTGCCAGGTGCTCCCAGAAGACAGTGGCTGCCCAGGGACCATGCACACCATGGTTTGCACTTCCTAAGCACGTGGTGTCGGAGTTTCTGTTCAGATGCGTGTGAGCTTAGGTACTGTGTGTGCTTACACAGGACTCCTGTCGCCGGTTCCCTCCGAGTCTCGGGGGCCATGCTGGGACCCTGTGTACTTGGTCAGAGAACCTGAATGAATTACAAGGAGCACAGGTGGGAGAAAGTCAGGAGCCAGTGATGGAGTTGCCACGGCGGAGAGTGATCCCTGCGTCCCAGTCCCGCCCTTCAGGTGGGCTCCTGAGTGTCTTGGAGCTGGGGGAGAGGTTGAGTGTGAGTCCTTTCTCATCCCCACGCCTCACTCGTGTTTCTCTTCCACAGACAGTCACTCCCTCTGCTACAACATAACTGTCAATCCCAAGGCCAGACCCAGACAGCAACGGTGTGATGTTCAAGGTCACGTGGATGACAGGAGGATTCTGCACTGTGACTGCAGCTTCACTAAGATCAGCTTTTTTGACCCCCTTGGGAGGGAAGTGGATGCCATTGACAACTGGGCAGAGCAGACAGAAATGCTGCGAGATGTGGTGGACGCCCTCAACCAGCAAGTGGCCGAAATGAAACATTCCACAAGCAAGGGTGAGCCTGAAAGACCCTGGGCAGAGGGCAGGTTTGTGAACCAGGACTGAGGATTTCCACGTGCAGAACTGGACACTGCTCTTCCTTTGGAGGCCCAGCGACAAGGTGGGAGTGGTAGGATCAGGGCCAGGTGATGCAAAGGGGACGGGAATGCAGGATCCCAGGTGGGGCAAAGGGTCTGTCAAGACTGATCTGGGCATGGGGACTTCCTTATGTTTCTGTGAAGTTGCAAGTTGGCCCCACTCAGGTGCCCCAGGAGGAAGTGCAGGATGCAGAGGACAGAGCAGGGCCAGGAGATACCAGAGAAACGGATGGGAGAAGTGGATCCCAGGTGGGGCAGAGGACCTGTCAAGACTGATCTCTGACAATGTCTTTCCAATGTGCACAGATCTCCAGAGCCTGCAGGGCAGGATGTGCTGCTGGCGTGGAGCCAGTGGCGGCAGGCACGGGTCCTGGCAGTTCAGCTTCGATGGACAGATCGGCCTCCTCTTTGACCCGGACGCCAGAATGTGGACAGAGGTTCATCCTGGGGCCAGCTGGATGAAGACGACCTGGGAGAATGACAGGCAGCTGACTGAGTTCTTGCGGAAGGTGTCCATGGGAGACTGCACAAGGTGGCTGGGGAACTTCTTGTTGCCCAGGGAGGAGATGCTAGAGTCTACAGGTAACGAGGGCCAGGGGTGGCGGGAAGGGGTTTTCCCTGGAGATGAGGTGAAGCCACCATGCGCATGTGTGTGTGCAAGGGTTTTGGTGCAATGGTGTGGTTGCCGGTGGATATGTGTGTGGGAACATGGATTTGTGTGCATGCTGTGTGTCTGTGTGTGCATGTGAGGATGTAGGCATGAATGCATGTGTGTGTGTTGTGCCAGTGTGTGCATGTCTGTGTGTGTGTCTGAGAACGTGATCCAGTGCTGTGTCCCTCCCTATGACAGCAACAGCATGGCTGCCTTTCCCAGGAGCAGGAGCTGGAAGGCCTCTCCTGGGGTTTGGAGTCTGCATGGGGGCCTCCAATCTTCTGCTTCCATTTCAGCGCAGCCACCCACAACCTCAGGAGCCGTCCCATCCAAGGTCACGGCCACCATGCCCATGTCCTGGACTTTTCTCCTGCTCCTCACCGGCTCAGTCCTCCTTGTCAGGTAAGGGGAGCCATTCTGAGTGACAGGTATGGAGGGCAGCACGGGAGGGAAGCACAGGGCAGATGGCTGGCTTGGGAAATGGGAAAGGGATTCCCTGAGTCCACCCCTGCCCTCTGAGCTGGACCTGCTTGTGTGGAGATGAGTCCCGGAGAAGCAGACCTCATGTTCCTCAGTAGAAAGCTGAGCCCCACCCTCTGAGTCCCCAGCACCTTCCCCAGGGACTCTTAGTGTAGTCAGAAAAAATCCACACTGAGAGTCTGAACATGCAGAGCACCATCCATCCCTCTGTCTCCTCCATTCACCCCACCCTTTTCCTTATCAGGTGATCTCCTGCTGTTTCTGCCTTTGTGCCTTAGGTGTCTTCACTAGCTTGACCCGTGCAGTTGATGCAAGATGTGATATGGAAGCTTGAAGAGCTTGAGGCAAATGGGATGGAGACATTGGGCTGCCAGAGAAGGCTGATGCACAAGTTTCTTTTTTTTTTTTTTTGTCTTTCTTTCTTATTTAAAATTTCTATTTAATAAATACAAATTTCAAAATTACAACTTTTGGATTATAGTGGTTTTTCTTCCTATAACCACCCTCCCACCTGCAAACCATCCCATCTCCTACTCCCTCTCCCATCCCATTCTTCATTAAGATTCATGTTTAATTATCTTTATATACAGAGATCAACTTAGCATATCCTAAGTAAAGAATTCAACAGTCGATGCATACGTACTCATCACAAAATTTCTTTTATCCAGTCTTCAGTTAATGGGCATTGGGGTTGATTCCATATCTTAGCTATTGTGAGTTGAATTGCAATAAACATGAGGGTACAGATAACTCTTTCATATGCTGATTTCATTTCACTTGGTAAAATCCCAGGAGTGGGATGGCTGGGTCATATGCTTGGTCTCTATTCAAATTTCTGAGGTAACTCAATACTGACATTCCACAGTAGCTGTACCAGTTTAATTCCTACCAACCATGGATTAGGGTACGTTTTCCCACAAATCCACACCAGCCATGTTGTTTATTGATTTCTGTATGAAACCCATTATGACAGGGGTGAGGTGAAACCTCACTGCGATTTTGGTTTGCATTTCCCTGAGGGCTAGTGACCCTGAGCGTTTTTTAGGGTGTCTGTTGGTCATTTGGATTTCCTCCTTGGAAAAATGCCTGTTTAAGTCTTTAGTTCATTTCTTGACTGGATTGTTTGCTGTTGTGGAGTTTCGTGATCTCTTTTCATATTCTGGTTATTAATCCTTTAGCAGTTGCATAGTTGGTAAGTAATTTCTGCCATTTTACCAGTTGCCTCTTCACTTTGCTGAGCATTTCCTTTGCAGTGCAGAAGCTTCTCAATTTGAAGTAATCCCATTTGTCAATTTTGGATTTGATTGCCTGTGCCTCTGGGATTTTTCTAAGAATTCTTTGCCTATGCCAATGTCTTGCAGGGTTTTCCCCAATGTTTTCTAATAATGTGATGGTATCAGGTCATAGACTTGGGTCTTCGACAAATTTGAGTGGATTTTGTGTAAGGTGTAAGATAAGGCATTGTCTGTGTATACAAAGGTTGTTGATTTTTGTGTATTAACTTTATATCTTGTTACTTTACCAAACGCTTCTCTGAGTCCAATAGTCTGTTGGTAGAGTCTTTTGGGTCCCCCATATATACCCATATATAAAATCATGTCATCTGCAAACAGAGATCCTTCTCAACTTGTATCCTCTTGATTTCTTTCTTTCTTTCTTCTTTCTTTCTTTCTTTCTTTTTTTTTTCTTTTGACAGGCAGAGTGGACAATGAGAGAGAGAGACAGAGAGAAAGGTCTTCCTTTGCTGTTGGTTCACCCTCCAATGGCCACCGTGGCCGGCGCGCGCCGCGGCCAGCACGTTGCGGCCAGAACACCGTGCTGATCCAGGTGCTTCTCCTGGTCTCCCATGCGGATGCAGGGCCCAAGCACTTGGGCCATCCTCCACTGCAATCCCGGGCCACAGCAGAGAGCTGGACTGGAAGTGGGGCAACCAGGACAGAATCCGGTGCCCCGACCAGACTAGAATCCGGTATGCCAGCGCCACATGCGGAGGATTAGCCTATTGAGCCGAAGCGCCGGCCCCTTTTGATTTCTTTTTCTTGTCAAATGGCTCTGACTAAAACTTCCTGGACTGTATTGAATAGCAATGGTGAGAGTGGGCATCCTTGTCTGGTACCAGATCTCTGTGAGAATGCTTCCAGCTTTTCCTCATTCATAGGACAATGGCCATGTGTTTGTCATAAATTGATCGGGTTGAGGAATGTTCCTTCTATACCCAATTTGCTTAGAATTTTCATCATGAGAGGGTGCTGTATTTCATCAAATGCTTTCTCTGTATCTATTGAGATAATCGTATGGTTTTTGTTCTTCAATTTGCTAATGTGATGTTTCACATAGATTTGTAAATATTGTACCATCCCTTTATACCAGGGATACATCCCACTTGGTCCTTGCGAATGATCTTTCTGATGTGTTGTTGGATTTGATTGGCTAGTATTTTGTTGAGGATTTTGCATCTCTGTTCATCAATGTGAGCACAGAGCCCTCTGTGACAACCCACCCCAGGCACTCAGGGAACTCTCAGACTCTGAATCCTCACATGATGCTTACACAAAGACCCAGCCATACCCCACACCCTATCACACAGTCACAGATTTCCCACATTCATAGTGCGTAAGGCCCCATGGTCTCAGGTAGAAGGGGATCTGCTTGCAGCCCCTTGGGCCCCCTCAGTCCAGAGAGAGCAAACAGCCAGCTTCCTGCCCAATAAAAGTTGGCCAGTGCTGTGCCTTAGAAAGTTGAGTTCAGCCACCACCTTGATTGAGTGAGGGAAGGTTAGTCCTTCATAGGACTAATTGGCACCCTGCCCCCGACCAGTCATCCAGGCCAGACTCAAAGTCAGTGAGGACCACAGAATTTTATCCCTCCAGTAAAAATCCCCCAGTTGTGTGGCCCACAGCAGCCTCTAACCACCTTATTAAGGTAGCATGTGCTTCCTGGTCATTGCCAGGCACCCTTGTTGGTGATGGGAAGAAAGCAACATGCTCTGGCTTCACAGGATTAGGTGGGCACCACGGTCCCCATTAGTGCCCCAGGCTGGACTCAAAGCCATGTGGACTGCGAGTTGTCCCTCAGGCAATATCACCAGTGACAGAGCTGCTGCAGGTTTCTCTCACCTTGCTCCAAGGAGATGGCCTCTCCCTCACCACTGGCTGTGGGAGTCAAAGGTGGTGTCCTGGAGGCTGCATGACTAGCCCGCCCCACTGCCCCATGCTGTCCATCTTATTTTTGTAGAATATCTATTAAGGGGCGGTGCTGTGCCTAGCAGGTAAAGCCACCGCCTGCAGTTCCAGCATCCATATGGGCATCAGTCCTAGTCCCAGCTGTGCCTCTTCTGATCCAGCTCTCTGCTATGGCCTCGGATACCAGTGGAGGATGGCCCAAGTCCTTGGGCCCCTGCACCCACTTGGGAGGCCCAGATGAATCTTCTGGCTCCTGACTTCAGATTGGTGCAGCTCCAGATATTGCAGCCTTCTGAGGAGTGAACCATCGGATGGAAAATGCTTTCTCTGCATCTATTAAGATAGTCATGTGATTTCTCTTCTGCAGTTTGTTAATATGGTGTATCACATTGATTGATTTGCAAATGTTGAACCATCCCTGCATACCAGGAATAAGTCTCACTTGGTCTGGGTATATGATCTTTCTGATGTGTTGTTGGATTCTATTAGCCAGGCTTTTATTGAGGATTTTTGCACCTATGTTCATCAAAGAAATTGGTCTGTAATTCTCTTTCTCTGCTACATCTTTTTCAGGTTTAGGAATTAAGGTGATCTGGCTTCAATGAACGACTTTGGGAAGATTTCCTCTCTTTCAATGGTGTGTCAATTTTGTTTATTTTTTCAAAAACCAGCTCTTAGTTTTGCTGATCTTTTGTAATTGTTTTATTCAATTTTGTTGATTTCTTCTCTAATTTTCTCAAAGATTTTATTTATTTATTAAAAGGCAGACTTACAGACAATGAGAGAGAGAGACAGACAGAA